CTACACAATTATATCTAATTAATTAGTCAATTTAATTGATTAGTAGACTAATCGATTAATCGATTAATCGATTAGTTAACTAATCGATTAATTGATTAATCGATAGTTGACTATAATCGATTTTTAATCGATTTTTAAAAAAAATTTTGGTTGATTAATTAATTGCATTTTTTGGTCCGATTTGGATCACTACTACAGGGTCGCTCGCCGTATACCCGGCTTTCACGGTTTCTAGAGAACTTGTAGTCTGCTCTGTACGTTGGGTCTGACCGTCATTATACCAAGCCTCCAGGTATAATCACTAATTATTAATCATTAAGTATTAAGTACTAAGTATAATACATATCTTTTAAATTTTACTCTAATAATAAAATAATAAAATAATAAAATAATAAAATAATAAAATAATAAAATAATAACTAATACAAAAAACTTTTCCTGATAATCTCTTGGTTAACAACAAAACAAACTGAACTACAGTAAAAATTATAGAAAAAAAACAAAGTGAATACTATAATACTCTTGCTACATACTTACATACTTGCTGTTAATGAAGCTTAATATTAGTATTACCAATTGAAACAATAAAAAGTAGGTCTGGTATCTTGAGTCAAGCTTCTTTTCTACGAACTGTTGTCGACAAAGTTCTTAAATGTGATATACTGAGAAGCAGGTATTTTGAACAGTTTGTACAGAGGTTAAGCTTTTTATCTTACAGGTAGTCTCCTCTGTATGTTCGATATCCAAACCAAAGAAGTCTCTGAGAACAGCAAGAAGAAAGAAGTAAACTCCCTCATACCTTCGACATCCAAACCAAAAGGATATTTTGGGAGCAATATCACTGTTAGGTCCCTGTACAAGAATATCAAGTAGAAACAGAGAAACTAGACTATGCTACTGTAACTCTTACAAGAAGAACCTCATATACTTTTATTGGCCCACTATTTTTTTTCAAAAAAATTTTTGTAAAAAGTGAGCATTTCAGTTTACTTTCTCCAAAAGATTAATATCATGTATACCAAACAGTTAGCATTATTTACTTTCTAAATTAGGACAACAGAATAACAAACATATTAAAGCATGTGCCTCGAATACAACAATCTGATCAAACAATGCTTCGAGACTTGGATCAAATTCTGACCCCTACTGTTATAGTCAAAGAAGTATTTTTTTACTGGTTTTGAGCTTCCATATACTATTCAAATAAATTTAGAGTAGGGCTATTTTATTTAGTAGTATGTAATTTTTATAAGCTATTCATAGGCTTATAATAGTGATCATTAGGATAGACAAATTTACTTTTTCTTTGTTATTTCGATATTCTCTTACCCTTTTTTTTCTTGTTTGCATCTTTTATTGTATCCCCTTTTACCTCTGTATTTTTTTTTTTTTTGTATTTGTGCTTTCGTTAATTTGGCTCTTTTTATGAAGTGTGCAGCTGCTAGAGCTAAGAATCGGAGTGTTTAAATTTCAGTAAATTGAGGATCCAATATGAAGCTATTTGCAGCTAGATGTGTTGTTCTTTAAGCATGCTTGAGTTAATCTTTACTTGCATGGAATATAGTATAGAAAATTGTATCTTCCTTTTGATATAAGTTCTGGTATCTCCAATAAAAAAATAATAGGCAGAATCTTCGAATTATAAAAAAAAAATAATAACTAATAATTATATAATATCAAAATAATAAACTAATAAAATAATAAACTAGTTTATAACAATATTATAGCAGATAATATAGATAGTATTATTTTTAACCCCTATTTAGATCTAATATGTCATTATTTCAGGATGAGATATTTATTAAATATTAAGCAAAAGAAGTAATCAAGATAATATTTGATCTCAAGATAGATGCAAACTAGAAAAAATTAAAAGTAATCTAAAAAATTAAACTAAAAGAGGACTGAAAAAGTAATGATTAGTTTTACTTGTAGAGAAGAATTAAAAAGAATACTGTAATAATATCAGATATATAATAATAAAACAGGCAAACATCTTAGAACTCTGTTCAAATATACTAATAAGATGCTTCCAGTACTCAGAACACTATTATATAGATATCTAGACTTATATCTATAAAAACAAAAAAGAAGAAAGTCAAGATCATCTAGTATACTATATATTTCTAAAAATAAGCTATTTTTTTAGATGATTTTAAGACCAAAAAATCAAGAGTAGCTTATTTTCAGATTGTACAGATTTTTAAGGATAGAGTATTTGTTTACCATTTGTTTGCGCATAGTATGAAAATAAACTAATTAAAATTTAATGATCTGCAAAATTAACCAATTATAATTGTATATTTGGTTGTATATGCATATTTATTTGCACATTGCATGAAAAAAACATGTAAACAAATATCTACCCTTAAAGATTTATTCCTGATAGCAGAGATAGCTTATTATTAGGTGTTATTTTTAAAAAAAAATTCCCACATATATAAATTTGTATATTAAAATTTAAACTAGTTTTGTACATATATATCTGGTATATACATGTATTGTGAAAGAGTAAATCAATACTTGTAATAGAATTTCTATATTTGAAGAGTTAGATATATATTAGATTTAACAAATTAAGTAAATATTGGCTCATTTTATATGCTAAGATAGCTCAAATCGAATCTAGCCAAAGGTAGTTAGTATGAAAAAAGTTTAATTTATTGAATTTATTAAATTTATTGCATTTATTGAATTTATTATATTTAGTTAATTTATCATATTTAGTCAATTTATTATATTTAGTACAATTAGTCAATTTATCAAATATATTTATTGTATATCTACTAAATAGTACAAAAGTATAAAAATACTGCCTTTTATATAAATAAAGATAGTTCTAAAGAGTTTAAAGTTTCAAGTTAAAGAATAAGTATATTTAATTTGTAATTAGTAAGTTTTTTAAATAGAAGTACAGTCAGACCTCCCTATAATCACCAAGTCTATCATACCCTATTGTGGTGATTGTATAGAGGTATGATTATAAACAAATATCAGATTAATATCACATGATCTTTAGCCAATTAATAATTAATTCGTGATTTGTGTGGAAACCAGTGAAATTTATTAGTAAATTCTGGTGAAATTTTTGCAGATCATTTATAAAAGAAAAAAAATAGCGATTTTTGCTTCATATTAACCAGCCTAAATTAAATTTTGATTGTATTAAAAAGAGTAGTACAATCGATTACGTAATGTTAAGAGAATCATATATTGAAATTTTTTTTAAAAAAAGTTCAATTACTAAAAACTTTTTATTGGGGAAACACCAGATTCCGCCCTTCAAAACTTCTTTTTTTTTTGCAATTCGAGTATATACGTATATAGACTTTATTAATTACTGTCATAAAATTTCATTTCTACCATTTCTTGTTTATGTTGCATTGCATACCTAGCTATCCAATATTGAATAGTTGTCACTTTTGAAACGTCACTTTCTTTTAAACTATCTACTTTACTAATTCTATTAATTCTTTCCACATTTCTTCTACACTATATCTATCACTTTTATTAGCATTACCCACCAAAAAGTATCCTTTTAAATAAGTTATTACGTGCTTACTAATCCTTTTACCTGCTTCTTTTTTTCTGAACTTTTGATTTTCTTTTAGCGCTCACTTTAATATAAGAGGAAATTCACTATACATGCTTTTATTTAATGGTATGTTATATGCAACTTTATAAGTGTACATATTGGATACAAAAAAAAATACAATTATAAATGAATTTAATATTACTTTCTTTCTTCACTTGGTTTTTGTAGTTGATCGACCGTCAAGTTATGAGAAGTAACTCCTAAAATACAAATTAAATAATCATATAATTTGTATAAGAATAGCAAAAAAAAAAAGAACAGTAATATATTACCTGATTTATTGGATAGTGGAACAAACCATGGAGATTTAGGGGTTGTATATTGAAAAACTTGGGGATCTGGTTTTTCTATTTCTTTTTTTTCAATTTTTCTAATTTTGCAGTAAAAAATTGTTCTATTCACTAATATTAGGCATTACACGTGCCCAGATATATCATGCGTAATCATCATAATATGGCCACTCCCATGAGAACCAATTTGAATTACCTGGTAAAGTATTAATCTGTTTTTTATCTGAAACTAATAAAAGATTAATCTATCAGATACTTTAAATCTCATATAGGTTATCTGCTAAAAAAATCACTATTTGAAAACAAATTCCAAACAGTGATTCTTCTAGCAGTTGACCCATATACTTTTATTATCTTTAGTATGTTCTGGCTCTAGGTGAGCTACTGATGTTTTACGGATTCTTTCAATCACCAATTCAATATCTGATCTCTGTGTAATATTAAATCTTAAATGAACGTGACGACTGATTGCGTGAGAAATTTAGAAATATCCAAATGGTAAAAGTAAATTGATTAAATGTGTCAAAAAAAATAAAAAAAAAAAACAAAGGAAAAAAAGACAAAAAAAAAAGGTAGATTAAATATCAAGCCTGTGTATGATGAGAATCAATTGTTGTTTTAGCCTTACCGACTTCAAAAAAAGTCCATTTTCTGACATGAATATTGTACTATTCTTTCCATCGTTTTATAATTATCATTAGATCTGCATTATAATAATGGGGCCTATTATCAGATAAAAAAGAAACCCATTCTGGCTGAGGATTAAGTTCATTTATTGCAGCATGAAATGAGGAAGCTGTGAACCAAGCGTCTTGACGTGAATCTGTCGATAGGGTCAAAAATTACATTTTACCAGCTTACAGTACATTTCATTTTACATAAGTTTTAGTAACATGGATTTCATGTAAATTTCACATGTGATATATAGTATCAGCACTATAAAAAATTCAGCTAGTATTATTGAACTACAGTAGATTGTTCACTGATCAAATCGATGCATATATGATCCAACCAACCATATGAGTGTATAATCACATTTCTTACAAATTACATAAAAACTATATTACTAAAAATATACAAAATTACATAAAACTATATAAAGTTACAGTAATTTGACAACCCTACTTGTTGACCAATAATCAAAAGCGCGAGCTTGTAAATTGTTATTATTAGGAAAGCGAGTATATATCAATACTAAATGTAATAACCATCCTTTTTTTCTGAAGAAGTTTTGTTTTGTTTCACGTACACTTTTTAGTAGAATTTTCATTTTGTAGTCAATGACAATTACAGCACCTTTTTTATCAAGCTAACCTAAATACGCGTTAAATTGTGTATTTAAATAAACTTTTCTTGTTTGATGTGCCAAATAGTATAATAAGTATTCTTGTAATTCTTTTAATTCTTTATAAAGATCAGATGGTATGTGTTCCTGAATTTGTCTAAAAAAATCAAAAAAAGCTCTACAATAATTACAGGTTAGTTCATATGATTTTGAGCAGGTTCCAAAAGCATAGGGCATGCAATGATTAATACAAGTATCATGTTTTATATAACCAAAACAATCAACTTTTAACTTATTTTCATAATCTTTTTTTAAATATCTTTGTAGATTATTACATTCGACTAATAATCATTCCTTATTGTTATTTAATTGCGTGTTAATTAATTTAAAAGTAATTACGCATCAGAAATTCAAAAAATTCGACAAGTAACATACACTGAATTAGAAATATGAGTGCAATACCATAATTTGTTGTAATTATAATGAGTTACGGCCAAAAATACCGTAATTCATTATAATTACGACAAATTATGACATTGTATTCAAATCTCTACACTAAATACTACTCAACTTGAAATTTGATAATTTCATGAACATTTATGTCCGCGAAATCATATGATGTAATTGTATTAACAATATATTGAATAGCATTCGAAAAGTGCTAATCAACATGTTGAATTTTTTAATATTTGGACAATATATAAATTTACCTAATGATCTAAATCTGCATGGTATTGTATTAATTTTTGAAGTTCATCAAATGTTTCATATCCATACATGTTACATATCGAACAAAGACCACTTAAGTCTTCTTTATATATATATTAACTACCTCGTAAATACTTATAAAATGTTGTTTTTTTAACACCATTAGGTATTCTTCGTAAAATCGTTCCCATAAAGCCTCTTTATTATTTTTTAAATAATATATAGATAATCCAGTAGCACTATCTGTTTTATAAGAGCTCATTACCACATTTGCTTTATTTTGAAAAAAATACTCAATTTGTTCTTTTTTTTTCAGGTGTTAATTTTTTAATATGATTTTAGGTTTTTCTAATTAGATACCTCCTGGACTATTAATGCGAGCATATTGACGTGCTTCAATAATTAAATAATTTGAAACCTATGATGAAATATTCTGTTATTTAAATTTTTGTTCAAATGTTTTTAAAATGAGTGCTGCCAAGAGAAAACCTATTATTGGGCTTTTGTATATAGTTTGTTTCCTGAGTGCTATCTAGGGAGATTCTATTATCAGGCTTTCAATTATATTTTATGATGAGTTGTCACAAAATATAGCTAAAAGTCCGATGATATATTTTCTTAGACGATATTCAGGAAACAAACTGAACACAAAATATAAGTGAAAGCTTGATGACAGGTTTTCTTCTAGCAGCACTCAAATATATTAATATCGCTTGACAAATACTAACTTATAATTTTTTTTGATTATATTATAGAAAAGTTTATCAACGATAATTGACAATATCCTTCTCTTTCCATCAATTCCACGAATATTAATCTCCAAAGCATCCTGAAGTGTATTCCAAAATTGGTCTAAAGTCTTTTCATAGTTGTCTGAAGTAGTACAAAGATACCTACTTTTATACAACTGCTCTAACATAGCTTTGTCTTTTTCTGAATATTTTGATTGAGTCCAAAATTCAATTTACAAATAATTCGAAGTTAGAATTATATATATTATGCGCTAGATTAATATTTGTATCAGTTAAAAAAAAAGATTTAAGAGGCAGTCCGCAATTAAAGAGTATAAATACAGTAGATATTTTACTGTAACTTTCATATAGTAATAGAATGCTGACAATAAGGAAAAACCATATAGCAAAAATGAAAAAATCTTAATATCTTGTGATTTACACAACCGATACTTTTTATTGTAATGAATCGGCATTCCACTACTATAATAAGTTCCAACTATTATACTTAGTAATGATTATACCCTTTAACTGCAAACTGCCTCTTAAATTTTAATTTGACACAAATTTTATTTGACATACAATATGTATCATATTTTTCTAACATGTGTATGTGAGAGGGTGTGTATACTAATAAAAATATATTTTATAGGATTTAGCCTCAAATAGTTTTAGTTCACAGGGTATGCATATAGAAAAATAGATATATATGTTTTAATTAAGAATAGAATTTAAGTAGATTTGGAACTTCTTAATAATTTATAATTTCAGAGTAGAATTTATTTTATATAAATCTATACCCTAATCCTAAAATTCTAAGAAATTTCAAATCTGCTTCTCACTTACAACATATGTATATACATATTTTTATTATTTTAGATTACCGTAGAGTCTTTTCCAAAAGGTATTATATTAGTATAGCCTATATATTGTAATAAGGCTCTCCATGTACACAATTCACGATCTTTAACAGTATAGTTTGGTGGGTGTATTTCTTTTAGTTTTGTTGTTAATTCGATAAGATTACTTTCTTGATTTTGCCAGTTAATAAAAAGATTTTTCCAATTTATAGACGCATTAATATTTTTTCTTAGATGATAATTAAAAAGCTTATTCATTATTTGATCATTTTGCCAATCTTCTATGGTATATGAAAGGATTTGTCCTTTGCTGAGTTCTGATTTTGTTTACTCATGTTCAAGTCCAAACAGCATGTTTTCTGTAAATTGTATTAATATACCGATTTGATCCCAAATGGTATTAAGGTCAGTATCATGAAAAACATGAATTTCTTAAAAATTTTAATAGAATTTAATGATCGCTTCTTTACTATTAAATTCTTGAAAA